ATAAGCCAATAGGAACAACTTGGGAGTGAGACAGACCACGCAGCCCAGGGTTCCAGCAAGGGGAAATAAAGCCTCAAAAACCTCTGACTGAAAAATTCTATGGGGGTTGAGGCAGTGGGAGAAACTGCCAGCCTCATACAAGAGTTCATTGAAGAGACCTACAGGGTCCTAGTAACCCACCCACCTGAGAATCAGCACCAGAAGGGCCCAATTTGCTTGTGGGTAGTGGTGGAAGTGGCCGAAAGCCCCAGAGAGCTAAACAAATGTCATTGATCCCTCTAGGCCACCTCCCCCACATACAGCACCACAATTCAGAGACATGGATTGCCCTGTCCTGGAAAATACCTAAGGTTTCACCACTTATGAATAACAGGTGTGCTGAAACAAAACAAAAAGTCCCAAATGAAAGAACATATCAAACCTGCAGAAAAAATACAACTAAGCAATAAAGAGATAGCCAACCTGTCAGATGCACAGTTCAAAACACTGGTGATCAGGATGCTCACAGAATTGGTTGAGTATGGTCACAAAATAGAAGAAAAAGTGTAGGCTATGAAAAGTAAAATAAAGGAAAATGTATAAGGAACCAACAGTGAAGGGGAAGAAACTGGGACTCAAATCAACAGTTTAGAGATAAAGGAAGAAATAAACATTCAACTAGAACAGAATGAAGAAACAAGAATTTTAAAAAATGAGGAGAGGCTTAGGTACCTCTGGGACATCCTTAAACATTCCAACATCCAAATCATAAGGGTGCTAGAAGGAGAAGAGGAAGAGCAAGAAATTGAAAACTTATTTGAAAGCATAATGAAAGAAAACTTCCCCAATCTGGTAAAGGCAATAGACTTCCAGGAAGTCCAGGAAGCTCAGAGAGTCCCAAAGAAGTTGGGCCCAAGGAGGAACACACCGAGGTACATCATAATTACATTAGCCAAAATTAAAAATAAGGAGAGAATCCTACAAGCAGCAAGAGAAAAGGAGACAGTTACTTACAAAGGAGTTTCCATAGCTGATTTCTCAAAAGAAACCTTACAGGCAACAAGGGGCTGGCAAGAAGTATTCAAAGTCATGAAAGGCAAGGACCTACATCCAAGAAGACTCTATCCAGCAAAGCTATTATTTAGAATGGAAGGGCAGAAAAAGTACTTCCCAGATAAGGTCAAGTTAAAGGAGTTTATCATCACCAAGTCCTTATTGTACAAAATGTTAAAGGAACTTAGAAAAAGAAGAAGATCAAAAATGCAAACAGTAAAATGACAACAAACTTACAACTATCAACAACCAAACCTAAAAAAACAAAAACAAAAATAAACTAAGCAAACAACTAGAACAGGAACAGATTCACAGAAATGGAGATCACATTGAGGGTTGTCAACAGGGAAGGGGAGGGAGCAATGGTGGAAAAGATACAGGGAATAAGAAGCATAAATGGCAGGTAGAAACTGGACAGGGGTAGGTTAAGAATAGTATGGGAAATAGAGAAGCCAAAGAACATATATGTAGGACCCATGGACATGAACTAAGGTCGGGGGAATGTGGGTGGGAGGGGGTATACAGGGAGAAGGGGAATAAAGCAGGGGGAATAGGACAACTGTGATAGCATAATCAGTAAAATATATTTTAAAAAAAGAGTGAGAATCACAGCAAACCACTGTTTAGTGACTGGTGGGATGCCCAGTATCTAAGCTCACAAGGACCTTCTGGACCCAGCATCACATCCACCTGCTAAAGGAAAGCAGCCTGTGCTCCAGGCTTCCAGCTCAGCTTCTATTCGAGAGCTTGGCCAACGGCAGTCCTGTCAGGTTTCCTTAGCAGGTACCACCACCTGGGCTGCACCACTCCAGTGATAGCCCAGCAACTGAATTTCTTGGTTTTTGTTTGCTTTTTTTGCTTTTGCTTTTTAAATAATTTTCTTATAAGATGCACATTAACAAGCCCTGTGTTTCCTTATCACAAAAATCAGCAAGAATATTTGGAGGCAGGAGAGGAAAATGTCAATAGACTTTTAAAATATTGGCAGCCCTGGCTAGGGGAAAATTTAGATGCCGTGTTAAAGATCTCTGTTGAACTTTCATTCACATCTCTTACAATTTTTGTTTCCTGGAAGAGTCATTCTCCAGTGCCTTCTGCTGGGACTGAATTAATAATGCATGCCATCTTTCCTTTAGGGAGTTCAAAATACTTTTTGTATATTTAGCCAAACAGAGCCAGGAGTAGAAAGTTAGGTTCTTTTCAAATGTAGCTGCCAAAAATGAAAGCCATCTTGCTGAATGGTAAGAGAAACCTTTTAGAAGACAAAACCTGGGGACCTAGATGGCTGCCCGTCACCTGCTGGGTGCTTTTGTGAACGCTCTTGGGCTGGCCCTCCAGGAGAGCACAGAGGGAGGGGGGAGAGGAGAGAGAAGAAGTACCATCCTCTGACCTATGGGAGGGGCTCCTGGTATCCAAGTCTTCCCTAGACTTTCTACCTTTTCCCTGCCTCATTCTACTCCCTAATACAGGGGTATCAAACTCATTTTCACCAAGGGCCACATCAGTTTCTTGGTTGCCTTCAAAGGGCCAAATGTAATTTTAGGACTGTATAAATGTAATTACTGCTTAACAGGTAAGCAAGAGCTCAGCATTGCCACCAAGTAGAAACAAGGCGATGGGCCAGATAAAACAAAGTGGAGGGCCAGCTTTGGCCCACAGGCCTTGTGTTTGCCACCTGTGCCCTAAGGTGCCCTCATCAAGAGATAGCTCTGTAGATAATTTTTCCTCTCTTGAACTTGGGAAGACCAGGGCATTTGGGCCTTAATTCACTGGAATCGAGGGAAGAAGGAGTGGGCAATAGCCCCATAGATTATCCACATTACCCTGGACATTGGCTGACTACCTCCCTCATCATCCCATTTAGGACAGAAAGAGCAGTTTGGAAGCTGGCACTTGAGAGGCCCACAACATAAATAAATGGTAAAACCTCTCTCAGAATGGAAGACTTTCAATGCCAAGTTCAACAGATTTTTATGTTTTTTCCTGAATCAGTGTGGTTATATCACTTGTGTAAATTGTTGACATTCCTGTTATTAATTTAGTTTTGGTTCTGTTTACCAGGCCCAGAAGCTAATGATCCCCATGTCACTTCTGTCAGATTTCTTTCATTTCTTTGCTGCAGTGTTCTCCACAGAAATACCCTTGTCATTTTAAGGGGATCACTCTTCTTGTACAAGGGACCCTTTTGATCTTTGAAAGGCTCTAGCATCCCTGGCCCCAGGCATTAATTGGCAGTAGTGATCTCCCTCACTATTAACACACAGAAACACCCCTACTCAATTCCAGACACCCTGGGGGTTTGGAGAAGTGGCGCCCCAGTTGAGAACAACAGAGGCCTGAATAAGCCCTTGCTCTACCTTGTAGTCCCGTATCACCAATGCCTCTTTCCCCCTGAACACACACCCCTTCTGTCTTTAAAGTTTTGCTCAAGTAGTAGTGGGAAGGATTCCCTAATTGATTCATTCATTTAACATTCATTCATGAGATATTTACTGAGCACCTACTAACAGTCCCAGGCACTGATTGAGAAGCTGATGGTCCACCAACCATCAACTATCACTCATATCTGTACCTCTTTCTTCAATTTTTTATTTGCATATTAATTTATAAGTTTCTTCAAGTCATCCCTGGACTTTATTATGACTTCCTGCCTAGGGATTTAGCTCCTCCAAGACTATGACTACTTCCTCTGCCTTTTCTTTATCCCTCCTGGAGCCACAGTCTCTGCAGTAGTCTCCATGTTGTAGAAATTCAGCAAGTGTTGGACTGATTGCATGATCCAAGACATGCATTTATCCCCAGGAGTAGATGTCATTTCTGTAATAGGAATCATGGCTCTTCTGGGTCATGTTTTCTAATCTGAAGATTCTGTCTGTTTTGTCTGCTAACAAAATGTAATGAAGAATAACATGGGAAACATTTTGGTGTCCCTGGTAAACAGTAAGCTTGACATGTGTAATGGACAAAGTTAAACAATCATATGCACTTCTTATTTCTTGGCACACCCTGCATAAGCCTCAGTCCCACAGGCCATGCGGTGGTCCCCTCCCAATAATGACTTCTGAGACGTAGCTCAGAGTGTGCCCTCTGCCTTCTGAAGCCTCAGAGTGCTCAGCCATGGAAGGCAAATGGACAAAAAATAGAAGGAAAGTGAGTCCCAAACTGGGAAAATCTGATGGAGCAATGGAGGTCTTTTATTTACTCTTTTTTTGTGTGTGTTTTATGAAAATTTTCAAAAACAGAAAAATATCTAGAATAATATAACAGTCCTCAACAATGTGTTCATCACCTAATTTCAATAGTTACCAATCCAAGGACATCATTTCATTTACATGCTTACCCAGTCTCCCTTCCTTCCAAATATGTTGTTTTAAGGCAAATCCCAAAACTATATAATTGTATTCATAAATATTTTGATATGAATCTCTAAATTAAAATTGCCACAAAATCATTGCTTAAAAAAATAAAAAATCTCATATCATCACATCTCCAGTCAGTGTTCCAATTTACAATTGTGGTAACTTTCTCAATAAATCTGAAAACTGGGTCAAAAATTATACTTTTATTGGGAGAGATGCCATAAAGGAACTAAAACAGATCTTTCTTCTTGCAGGAAAGTAGAATAAAGCAATGATAAAGTGATTTCAGGGAGTACAAATAAAATAGTTCTGGCTCCGGGGCGGGGGAGGGGGTGTCTCCTGAGACCTGTCTAAACTCACCAGTCCAGTACTTACCGCCTCCCCTCCCCACGCTCACCCCCCCGGTGGCAGCTGGGCACTGCAAGGGGTCAGTTAACTCTTCAGGAAGTTCATTTCATAACATGACAGAGCTCTTACTATGTTACTAGTAGTTTAATGTTTGGCCACATGGCAAAAATGTGTGTGACACAGGTCTTTTTTTTAAGTGTTGATTGAGCACATAATTTAAAAGTCAGAATATTAAATAAACATCTCTGCCCTTTCTTCCAGCAGGCAGCCCAGAGAACCGCTCTCCACGCTCTGTCTGACAGGTATGTTTTGTCATTTTTATGAACTATAAATTGCCTTATGAAACATTGAGCCCTATTTATTGTGGCATATAATTCATAATCGGATTTTGTCCCTCAAGTATCTGGGAACTGGGATGTTAAACGTTTTGCATGCTTGGATTTGTCATGCCCGTGTGGAGTTTATTATTGCAAAAATCTCCTTGTTGTATTTCACAGAAAGTGTGGAGAGTCCCTTGTTGTTCAATGAAACAAGAGACAAGGAACTGGAGAAAAGGCCTGAATGGCGCAGTAAATTCTGAACTCTGGTATTGGTTGAGATCTAAGCTCATTTTTCAGCAATAAGTACTTCATTTATTTTGAGATGCTTTCTGCAGACTCTTTCCATATCATTTCCCCGGGAGCTATCTGTCTTTTGATGAGATTCTCTCTTGAAATACTTTATGCATGTCACCCAATTCACAGTCCTGAGTGCCTGACTTTTTACTCTGTGCTTCGGCTGTTTTTTCTGACTTGTATCATTGAATGAGAGCTAGAAACCTAATCAACTAACACACTCGAACTGTATTTCACATCCAGCTTTGCTGTATAAAAATGGTTGAACAGGAATCTATAGTTAACTTTCTAGAACCAATCAGGCCGTTTTTTATTTTGGTCGTGTTTTTTTGTTTTATTTTTTCACTTGCTAAGGTGGGGTGCGCACGTGTGCATGTGTGTGTGTTTCTTAAAGAATTGTCAGATGTAAAGAGGAAGTCCCCCAGCCTGGCCCATGTGGCTCGGTTGTTTGGAGCATCATCCTATAAACAGAAAGGTCTCAGGTTTGATCCCCAGTCAGGGTACATGCCTGGGTTGTGGGTTTGGTACCTGGTCTGGAACATGTGCAAGGAGCAAGCAGTCAACGTTTCTTTTTCACATCAGTGTTTCTCTCCCTCTTTCTCTCTCTCCTTCCTTTCCCCTCTCTCTAAAATCAGGGAGCGTGTGCTGGGGTGAGGATTTTTTAAAGATGAAGCCCCTGTCTCTCCACAATGGAAGTTCTTACTGTGTCAGAAGCAGCTAGCAATGTTCTTCCCCTAGCCGGCTGGTGGTCACCTCCATGTTACCTAGTGAACTGTCACCACCTCCCCTTTCTCCCCAGTTCTTTTTTGCAGAATGAGTGGTAATTGACAGTGTAAACGAGATCAGTTCAGCTTCTCCAAGGTAAATGCTGCCGCTTGGGCATATTACCTGTGCACGTGGGTGAGAAGTGTTTTCTCTGTGGTGGCAGGCCGAGCCCCAGTGTGTTTATTTCAAGTGAAAAGCCTGCCCCATCACAACCACACAAGCCAGTGTGCTAAGAGTGGCTGCCACGTGACTTTCTGCAGTTCCTACTGGGATTCTCACAAAAGCTGATGACTGTAGTGCTTTTGAGGCTATTGGTGGAAGGAGGAGAGACTCTGGACTAAACATTTAAAATCCGACACAGTAATTCTTTTTCCCCTTTGGTTTCTTAAATAAGTGATTCCTTCAACAAAAGGCACTGAGAAGCAAAAGAAAGCCCTGTTTATAATGTTACACCATTGCCAATGGTTACAAGGTTTCTTTTCAGGGTATTGAAAATGTTGGAAAATTAGATCGTGGCAGTGGTTTCCCAACCTTATAAATATGCTAAAAATCATTGCGTCTCATACTTTAAATGGGTAAACTTTATGCTGTATAAATTACATTTCAGTAAAGCAACATATTATAGATGCAAAGTGTCAGTATGACCTCTGGTGGAAAGAGTCAAAACTTCTTTGAGGAAAGTATGCACTCCCCTTGGAGACCCGGGTGCAAAATACAATGAGATATCAGAAACCAGGAGTGATAGATACATTCTGAGGCTTCTTCCCAAAAGATTCATGACCCTGTCCTGTGCAGAAAATGGTGCATGGATTTTCATGAGGAGATACATGAGTTCTCTTCGACTCTGTTCTCGTATCCTCTCCAATTCCTCCCTGGTCAAGCCCAACAGTTAACAGCTAGTAAGCTAGCACCTCAGCCCCTGTGAAGTGAAGAGCACAGTGAGAACAAGGTCCATCCCCTGGAGACGGAGAGACAAAGGCTCCCGTTGTCATTGCTCTTATGAATTTCTCTGCCTTTAAATGTAGTAAAGCATCTCCCTCCCCGCCTTGAATATAACAGTTTTTCTGTTCAAAACTGGGGGAAAGTGGCTCACTTCAAAGTAATGAGACGACTTTGTCTGCTGTTCTAGCCACGTGGTGGCGTGGCACTATCTTCTGTGTTTTTCCTGTTCCGTTTTGCCATATGAAAATTTCCCTAAGTGCAAAGCATCTCTAATCATTCGGAGGTACAATTTAAAACCTTTCTTCAAAATAAGGACTTAAAACACCTACTGAATTAATTGGCTTAATTTTTTCTAGTTTTCTTAACTTAGAGAATGCTAATTTTCAAGGACAGAAGTCACTTTCTATCACCTTACTTAATCTGTTGAATAAACCGGTATTTTCCATAAAGTGATTGGCATGACTCCTCAGCAGACCACTGCATGAACTTGCCTAATATTCTATCTATCAGAGGAACCACCTTAAGGTGGGAATGGAACTGAGTAAAAATTCGCTTCAGGTTCTGACCTACCCAAGGTGGAGAGCTAACCCCAATATTTCTGGCTGCCTATAGCCCGGTATTCATCTAGTGTACATTCATTTGCACAAACTATTCTAGTTTCTAAACTATTACTTTTTGGCATGTTATAGCTCTTGATATAAAAATTCCATAGGCAGCTTTTTCTCTTTAATCCTAAAAACATAGAGGACTTTTTAGTGTCAACAGGTGCTCCCTCTGGTGTTGACCAGAGCAGCCCAGGCTGGCTGAGGGGGGGCCACCCGCACAGGCTCCTCGCTTCCGCATCCTGCTAGTGTGCTCAGCTGCGGGCCCGTCTCACTTCCATTTAGCCATGTAACTGCCTTGTGTCCACCAGGACATCTGATACAGGAGTTCGAGCTGTTTTGTTTCAAGATGTGCAACTCGATGGTAAAATAGGATTTGTTTGACTGGGGGTGTGGGGGTTGTGCGTTTACAGCATAGAAATCCTGTTCTCTGCCTCCAAGTCTTCGAGACCGCACCTAATGAGACTAGTTATAAGGCGAAGGGGTGGCATTTTCCTTTCCTTTCTGAAGACCGTAGAAAGCTCATCCCTTCGAGGTGTGAGAGGGAAGAGACTATCCAGATGCCTTCTGAAGGCCAGTCTTGTCTGTCTTTTCATTTCTCCAGTTTCCTGGTTTAAATCGGCATTCTAGGAGGAATTTAATATCTGGCAGTTAAGACCATATGCTTTAAAGTTTAGTGACTCCATAATAATCAATACACAACCTTGATAAATTAAAACTAGAATATATTTCCTTACCTAAATTTCAGAATCATCTGTGGTCAACCCCAGAGAAAACCTTTGGCCTTGCTCGATTTTTTTGTCTGGAGGGGCTTCATTTATGATTCAGCCAAAACAGCTAGAGTGTCCACAGGTCAGCACAGAATCCAGTGGCAAGGCAAATCTGGGCTTCAGCCCAACCCACTTACCACCCTGCAACAACCAGAAGGGTCACATGGAGGTGGAATGGCCTGTTTTTCATTCTTTCCTACCATCAACTTTAGAATGTTTCATCTATTTTATGCCATTGAGTGTCAGCTGGCATGCCAGAGGCCCAGTGATGCCCCAAATAATGAAAAGAATCAGAGGACCAGGGCGAGAAGAGGGAGCAAAATTCTCAATATCATAAACAAGCCAGTTACGAGAAAACCTCAGTTTGCAAAGGGACACTACTTTCTACTTACACCTTGCAGTGTGCCTCTCAAGCGTCCGTTCTTCTTATGAATGATTGTGTTGGGCAGGGTAGAGAGCGGCAGAGGAAAACGGGGATACACGGGCCTGAGGCTTACTTATAAAGCTGTGTCTAGTGTAGCCACTGCACTGGGAAAGTGCCTCATTGCCAGGAATGTGGAAAATATGCAGAGTCCTGGAGGAAAGGGAAGAATGTGTGTGCGGCATATGAAGTGGCTCTGGATATGATTAACTTCCCTTCCTAAGTAGTAAATAGCAGATAACTGTGATAAAAAAAAAAAAAAAGGATCTCTATGATTTATCAAGCTGAGCAACTGTGCACTTGCAGAGAAGCTGGAGGTCAATCTTGAAATCTAGGGCAAGATGAGCGAGAGGACATTGTGAGGACTCAGAAGTTAATCATCCCCTTGGACTGCCGCCATCTGTCTCAGAGAGACAGAACCTCTGCAGAGCGAGCAGAGATGCTTTATTGCAGGTGATCCGGAATTCATATTTGCTGTGAAACCTCAAGCATCATTTGCAGTAACTTGGGTTTTATAAAAACAGAGCCTAATTTCATATGAATAAATCACATTCATCTAGAAATATGAGGAGCTGCAGCGGGGTGGGGGGGCAGAATTGAGCTTGACTTAAAAAAAAAAAGAAATGAACAAGAAAGCCAATGTGAGAACAGTTGTTGGAGCGATGGCACTTGGAGGGCATGAACAGCCATGTGGTTAAATTGTGCATATAATCATCTTCTGAAATGTCAGCCTGTGACTGCAGAAATGGCTGCATTTTTATAGCCTTGGAGATACATCACCAGACTGTACCCTGTCAGCCCATCTGGCAATATTTCAGGGCCAGGATCCATTTATATTGAAACCCAAACAACTACCATTGATTTATTCATTTATGCCACAAGTATTTATTGAGTGCATCCTGTGAGCTCAGCCATGCGCTGTGCTGGTGTAGGGGTGCAGGGGTGAGCGGGAGCAGCCATGCACCTCCCCTCTGGGCCTCACCATCCAGAGGGGTGCTGGCTCAGGCATTTGCCACTCTCAGTTTTGCTTTCTCAAATAAATCTCACCCATCAAATGTCCTCTCCCCATTAGGGAGAATATGAAATTAACTAAGTGGGGAATAACATAAAATGAAGAGGTTTTACTTCCTCTGAGTCTGGTCTGCATCCAAGAGCAGGACTGGAAATGTCCCCAAAGGAAGGTGGGGA